CCCGCGAGCCGAGGCCCCGCCCACCGCTCACGGGCCCCGCCCACCGCTCACGGGCCCCGCCCACCGCTTTTCACAACAAAACGGGAACTAACGCTATCGCCAGTCTCCATTTCTGTCACAATCCTGCGTGTTGTGTTTTTCATCCCCGCTATGAGAAAAAACAAAACCAACAAAAAACCCAACCAAAAAACCCCAGTGTTTTCACTGAATGTTGACAAAAGTCAATAGAAAAAACCCAAATCCATAAAATCCGGTAGCCTCTTTTCCATATTTGGTCACTGTGTGGGCACTGACTTAAATGATTAACAATGTTATTGACAACCTGTCAATGGCTGGTCTCTTAAGTAACACATTGGACATTACTTAGCAAGGTTTTTCCAAGACACCAAAAAGTTACATCTACTAAAAAAAAATTTAAATCTTAAACATTCTGTTATTATTTTCAAGGATGGGTTCTCTACAATTTGAAATTTCGTTACAGTCTAACAGTACTGAGCAAATTTCATGTGTGAATTATCACAAGGCTGACAGCTTACAGCATCAAGAAATAAATTCCTGCCATCAGACAAACTTGTCAAGATCTAATCAAAACATTTCAAGCATGTAAGATAATAAATCATTAGCATCTATAACAGGTTGTGTGGTTTATATTCTAAAAAGGTACTTCTTCCGCTCTCATTTGTTAGAAAGAATTAAAGTCTCCAACCGTGAAGTCTACGTAGCAATGACAGCTTTTTGCCACTGCTAATGGATAAATAGGTAAGATATAATTATATACCATATATTTTTCTGTTCATGTATATAGTATATTACTAATAAATGCATATATATCTCTCTCATCAAATGAGCAGATGTATTTAATTTATCCTCTTTAAAGAGGATCTGACATAACAAAGGTGCTCAGCAGAGGGTACTTTTCCTGTTCAGATGGTGCATTTCCATTTATTCCAACACACTCAGCCCCAGAAATTCTCAGAATGAATTAATAAAGCTCCGGAATTTCACGGTACTGGCTGAAAAAGGAAAACAGTGACCTTTAAATCTCTTTTACCTACCTTCTAATTTTTGAGCTTTTAGGGTTCGTGTTTACAAGCTTTGCTCTAGTCATTAGGGCTGGCAAGTCACTTAAAGAGAGAACGCTTCCTCGCAGCAGCGCAGCGCCGGTAATTGGGGCTTACAGGCACAAACCATGGGAATCGTGGCCCAGTAACAGGAGCGGACAAACCTTTCCCTTCCCTCTCCTGTATGCTTGTTTTATTCACACAATATTACCTTTGCTACTTCCTATAACGTAGCTAATTTAGGATTAAATGCACGCAAGGTTAAAAGAAGGACTGACTTCGGCTTTGTCCCCAAAATCATCCTTTGAAATCTGTGATCAACTGAGCTTCTAAGTAAGGAAGGAAAAAGTCCTAGAAGATGACATCTCAATGCAATTGAAATATTATTCTACCCGTGTAGCAACTGTTTTCATTCCGCACCTCCACCTCGACAAACACAGTGCAGCTGCAGAATCAATAGGCAGTAGTTCAAATTTAATACCTCTGTGGTCTTGACAACAAAGAGCACAATCAAAGCAATCAATTTTTATACCTGTTGTTCCACTATGCCTCATCACGTGTTTGTCTTAAAATCCCCTTCAAAAACCCTCTCAGCCCCACACCAAGCCATGCCCCAACTCCCGCAGGGCTTTTCCCGTCCCCTGGAGAAACACCAAGCCCGCGCCCTCCCAGCTCTTCGCCCTTCCCTGCTTCTCCAGAGTCCTCCAAACCAGACCATGAATGGTGGGGCCAACGCAGAAGCATCAGAGCTGAAAGTTGCACAACTGCGAGCGGCATCACCAGCAAGGGACTAATGGTTACATCCCAGGGAAAAAGAAGAAAGAGTTATGAGCGTTGCTTGTCCTGCATCACCAGCAAGGGTCTAATGGTTACATCCCAGGGAAAAAGAAGAAAGAAAACGCCTGGAGATGGAAGCAAGGAGGGAGGATAGCGCAGACAGAACCGATGACCTATTTCAGGGCACCGATTTGAGGATGCCCACTGCCAGGAGAACACTCCAGGGGATAGAGCGGACAAGGAAAATGCCCGCCAGAGACAGGGATACTCTCACAGGGTGTAGACTCGGCTGCGTCTTAGGATGGCTTAACACTTCAATGTGTGCAATGGGACCAACTGAGAGTTTACATCTAAAAATGATAGGGTAGTTTCAAACATATGAGAGAGCACTACAAAAACACTGATTAAGTAATTATGTGAAACACAGGAGAAAGTCCAAAAGCATTTCCCAAGTACCCTGTAAAGGTGAAACTCTACTCAGAATCAGTCTTATAGTACAGATTAAACCATTTTAGATAGTAAATGGTGAGGAGGGTGGTGTGATTTGACTGGTTTCCACCCACTCCACAAAGGAGTTTGGCATTACATATTCATGTATCCTGAAAAAATAAATCACATTTTAAGACGCAAGATAACTAATACAAGAGTGCTGAGCTGTGGCTACTTGGTCTGAAACACTATTTACAGGTTGCAGCTGTAAGCCTTTAAGTAAATATGCTAGTTTATCCTAAAGGACATTTTTCATTTAAGACCACCCTTCTGACGAGAATGACACACGAACATTCAAGATTTCAAACTGCCTCTTCTGACAGCGCATCTGCCTCCCCCAGCACTTGCGCTGCCGGTACCTATATATATTACCATTATTACTTCAGCCAGCCTCCATGCCACCTGCTCCCTAGGTCAACAATATCAAAATAGAAGCTTACATTTATATTTGATTTATATAAAGTGATAAATAGCATAGGAATATTTTAAAAGACAGTTGCACGCTTTTCACACAGAGCTTTCAGAAGTGTGCTTCTTTCACAGATCCTAAAAAATAAGAAGTGCATTAAATCTCGCAGTTCCCAAATGACAGGAACAGACTGTTCTGAAAGTTAATTTTTTTGTATCAGTTCCATATTTCAAGGCATAATTATTAAACATGCAACTTGATCTGTACATGACAAAAGCGGCAGCAGATTTTCAGACAACTAGTTAAAAATTAACCTTGGGAAAGAAATTCAGCATTGTGGAACTTATAAAAAGCTGGTTCGAATACCTCCTTCAAAAAGAGTTCCTTATAGTTGTTTCTTTTTATCTTAAGTTTATCGTCTCAGATCATGAGGATATAAAATCAGTTGGACACCATAGCGTGCTACAGTTCAGGTTTCGCACCAGGATTGGATCCTTCCTGGACCTGTCATTTTGGAGACAGCAAGGAACCAAGAAGAGAAAATCTATTGGCCATTTTAAGCATCACTTTTCTGTTTACATAATGTATTGTTTAGTACATAGATACTGAAAATTTATTCTATTGTCACCTTTTGTATACAGAAACTGCATCTGAAAAGAGGAACATTTCAGGCAGCAGAGAGAGTGCTGGCTTTTTGCATACGTATCTGCGCGCAATATGAAACAGAAATAAAGTCTGGAAATCTATTTGTTCATTGACCTACAATGCAACCCACATCTTTTAAACAGATACGTTATGTTATAAAAGCGCGAAGATAACAGGAGCCCATCACTCAAAATTGTCACTTTCTCTCAGTCTTGTAATTTGTCCTTGAATATGTAGCTGCGCATATGGCACAGACCCACAGGCAAAGTTGGATGCTAGAGCCTGCACTGATGGCAGCTTAAATGCAGTCCTTTCAAATTGCAGTGAGAACCATCGCTACACTCAGGATGTTCCATATTTTTGCCAGAGCAGACAGCATGATTCCTGAGATTGCCTTTGACCTTGGCTTTCTTGCAAGGTAGCTCACTATCATACCAGTTGGGACAATAGACAAATATTTTTACAGCTATAACAGTAAATACATTTCAGTTAATAAGTTAATATTTCACAGATGATGAAATTCCACTGACACTCATTGACCTGGTACCATGCACTCATGTTTTAATATTTTTCCTTTGCTGACTATGTTTGCTTTAGGGTATACTACCAACCAGCAGGGGATTAATTAAATCTCTTTCTATACATAACCATTTGCATTACAGAAATGATATAATAAGGGTTGGAATCTCCAGTTCTGATGGAAAATACAACCTGGCCACGCAAGGACAAAACTGTAATCCATCCATCAGATTAACAGGAAGGAATTTTTCATGGTGATTAAAAAAAAAAAAAAAGCACCCCACACTAAGCTTCTCTTTCTCCTATCAGTATCTGTCAAGAAAAATAATTTCCTTCTTTTCACCATCTCATTGTAAATGGTTATTAAAAACAGTACTTCTCAATTTCTCTCTCTAGAAATGATAACATCTGAACTTGTTTCCCAAACTCATCAGCAAAGAATTTTAAACAGCAACACTAAAACCGTATCTGTATT